CCTCTGCGAGTGGTGAGCCAGGCGCAGGTGCCACAGCGCGCGGCCCAGGCGCTGCTGCTGCAGCAGGAGCTGGCCCGGGGGCTCCCCGGCGCCGCCGTTCGCTGGCGAGCGCAGGCCTACGTTCTCGAAGTAGTGCGCCAGGAAGGCGATGGGCTCCTCGGGCCGCGCCTCCAGCACCTTCAGCAGCGCCGCGCGCAGCATCTCCGTCACGCCGACCTGCCGCAGGAAGTCCTCCTCGCTGTCGGCCGCCGCCACCGCTGCCCGGGACGCCGCCGAGGCCACGGCCTGCCGCCGCTTCTCCACTGCCGCCATCTCGGCTGAGGGCAGCGGGACCGGAAGCGGCGCCCTGCTTCGTAGCGCGCTGGCGCCCGGGAAGGCCATTTTTGTTAAGGGCAGGGGCCGCCGGCCCGGTTCCCTCAGGGAGACCGCGGGAAGTACCAGGCGCACGGAGTCCTTTTCCCTAGGTCCTCATGGGCACTCTCCCCTGGCTTCTCTCTTTATGTGTACAGATCGGCCCTCCTGATTTCGGCCTGGAACCACAATTTTGCCAGATTCCAAAATGGCTACCCAGGAAGGGCTCGCTTTCTGGCAGGAAGCCGGATTGCTTGCCATCTTGGTAGCGGGCGAGTACTTCATCAGCATGGTCCCCTAGCAACCAGTCTCCGTGGTTACCATAGAAGCTAGACCCAGCGGCGCCGCCACCCCCAGACCCTCTTCGGATGTTCGTCTCAGAGCCTGTGCGCTCGGGTCGCGCTCCGCCGGGCCCTCCCCTGCCACCCCCCGGCGGGGCTTGGGTCTACTGGGGACCCTCCCTGGCTCCCGGCGGGACGCGTTCGCAGCGCGGCGTGCCAGGCTGTTATCCGTCTTTACCACCAGAGGGAGCGCTCGAACACCGCATCCTCCAGTGCTCTAAACTCTCCCATAGCTCCCCAGTGCCCGCAGCCCGAAGTCCCCTCTCTCCAGACACGTGTCTTCAGCCCTTCCTCGGCTGACATTTCCAGCCGCTCTCCCGCCCCCTCCACCCACCCCAGCCCCCAGCCACTCCAACAGGCATGCAATTCCCCTTAATAAGCCACCCCCCGAAACTTTGCCCACCATACCCCTGCCCCCCCCCAATACTTTCCCCACTTCTTTTGGGGATTTCTAGTTAATCGTTAAGCTCCTCCCCCAGGGTAATGCACAGAGCTGTGTTCCCCGTCCCCTCTCCCCAACGGAGCTCGTGTCCCCCGCCCTGACCCCTGCCCTGGCCAGGTGGGGCTTGGGGTTCGTCCAGTGCAGGGGTAGTTAGCGCTGCGCAGAGGTTTTCAGCGTCCTAGGACCACGACAGGAATCAACAACAGTCAGACCAAATGCTCTTTATTTTCCAGCCCTGGATCCTTGGGGGGTGGGCCCCCCCGGAGCCCCACTGAGAGGAGGGACAGCCAGCTGGGGAACTCGGACATGCTGACCACCAGGGCAAGGGGCCCATGGTCAGCCCTCATGCTGTCCAGATCCCTGCAAACGTCCACCGGTCACAACTGAGTGGCGGGAAAGGCAGGCAGGCCATTCAGGAGGGGCTGCGTCCCGTCCCCCTTAATCGGGCCCAGGCTGACACGAGGATAGGAGCCTCGGGAGCTGGCGGGCGGGTGCGGTCCTCAGCCCTGGGACTGGCAGCGTTTCCGCAGGTGATAGGCCAGGAACACCAGGAGGAGCAGCCCCAGAGCCAAGCTGCTCGCCCACAGGGCTGCGGGCAGCTGGACGGCCACAGGGCTGGGTGCTGGGAAGTGGAGGACAAGCCCGTCAGGAGCCCACAGGGCCTGTGCCTTGCAGGCCTCAGGAAGGGAGAAGCCCAGCAGGGTCTACAGGGCACCTCCAAATGTACTGAGCTCCCCAAAATTTTACAAAGGCCTTTACAGCCAATCTTTTGAAATAGGACCTGATAGTTTAGAAGTGGGCCGCCCGATGGATTACATGTGGAAATGAGAACGTTTGGCATATACAGGACTCAGCAACACAAATTATCACACTTATTTGAAATGACCTAGGCAGCTGCCTGTTCTATTTCTGTTTCTATTTCCCAGGCTGTCCTAGTCCTTAAAGCTCAGGATTTAAACAGTGCTTTGAAATCCACACGGCCCCTGAAACTTACAAAGGACACAGTCTGGGAAGCCCGCTGGACAGATGAGGAAACTGAGGCTGGGCAGGGCAACTTCTTGTCTAAAGTATTCATCCAAGAAATCTCTCGGGCCGGCCCGTGGCTCACTCGGTAGAGTGCGGTGCTAATAGCACCAAGGCCCCGGGTTCGGATCCCACATAGGGATGGCCGGTTCGCTCACTGGCTGAGCGTGGTGCTGACAACACCAAGTCAAGGGTTAAGATCCCCTTACTGGTCATCTTTTAAAAAAAAAAAGAAATCTCTCACCCAGCCCTTCCCCCTTCCCAGGCGCTAGAACTCACTGCTTTTGGGGACCACTCCTCTCCACATGGGCCCAGCCTGGTGGATCTCAGGCCAGCAAGTCCTGGTGGAGCCGGGACTCCTGATGCCGTGCGTGGTGTCCTGTTGGGGACTGGTCTCCAGGGAGGTGGTGACAGGGGGCTCCGAGGAGGTGGTGACGGGTGGGTCTGGGGAGGTCGTGACAGGGGGCTCCGGGGAGGTCTGCCTGGGCAGGACTGGAAACAGTGGTCATTTTTTTCTCCCTGATACCCCAGGCCCGCCTCTCCTGCCTCAGTATCCCCATCTGGACCATGAGGTTGCACCATAATCTCTCCAAGCCCTTCCCTAGACCACCGGGCAAATCACAGGGCATCACAGTGGGTGGCATCGGGGTCTGAGTTGTCCCGGTCCCCCACTCACTAGCACCACTCTAGCCAGCTTCTAAGTCTCCATGTGCCTCAGTTTCCTCAACTGTAAAAGGGCTGCCATGAAGAGTGAACATTGGTCAGCCCGCACTTTTACCATTATGGGATGTGGAAGGTGGAGGGAGGGGAGGAGGTGCTTGGAGATTTCCTGCCCTTGGTGGGCAGACCGAAGCCCATGAGCGTATTTGCACATTCTGTTATAAAATATCCTTCAGATCCGACTCACCTCTCTCCCCTCAACCCCATCACCACGACCTCCCTGGTCTCCTGCTTCCCCTCGTCCCCTGGGAGCTCTTTGCTCCAAATTCACAATCCCGAGCTCATTAACATGCTGTGTGGGAGAATGATCCGGGCCTTCTTTAATGAGAGAAGCTGCCAGGGGCTTCGCCATGTGAGCAGGGCTTTCCCGGATGCTGGTTAAATTAGGACCGTCTGACACGAGTTGGGCGCCGACTGTGCACCAGGCCCTGGGTTAAGTGCCTTCATTTATTTGTTCGTTCAGTGGGTGTTTACTAAGCACCTACTATGTGTCGGGCACTGTTCCAACTACAGCTGTGAACACAGCACAGATTCCTACTCGGGAAGCCAACAGCGGTGGAGACAGAAAATGGGGAAAACGGTGAACGTGCGGGGTGTCAGGTGTTGGTGAAAGGTGTCAAGACACATAAGACAGGAAAAAGGAAAGGCTCACACGTGTGTGTACACGTGGAGGGGCGGGGGGTTGATTGTGGAGATGGAGGTCAGAGGAGCCTCCCCGGGCAGATTGTGCAGGGTCCTGTAGCCTCGGGGAGGACCTGAGCTTCTGCCCCAAGGGAAGGTGGGAACCATCAAGGGTTGTGGGCAGAGCAAGGTGGGACCATGGGGCCTGGCACAGGTAGGTGCTCAGTAAATACCTGTGGAATTAATAAGTATCGCTCTGGCTGCCACAGGGGAGCATCCCAATGGGGACACAGTGGTGCGGCCCAAAGTGACACGGCAGGTGGGGGTTGCAGCCTGGATGCCAGGAGCACCCGAGTCCCGTTCACCGCTGAGCACTGCCTGTTGAGGCTCATGCGCAGGCGGGAGTCACTGTGCCAACCCCGGGGGACCCACGGACTCACTGGGAATGGCCCGGCGGTGGGTCAGCTCCAAGCGGGGCAGCCTCATGGTGGCCTGACAGTGGAGGGCGGGTGGGGCAGGTGTCCCCAAGCGGGGCAGCAGCCAGTGCTCCGTCACACGGTACAGCACGTCCTCGTCCTCTTGGGGCTCCTCGTCTTCCTGCCGGCTCAGGACCTGGACCCCCTCCAGCTCCCGGCCCCACAGGAGCAGGGAGAAGGACAGGGCATCAGGGCCTGCGGGCGTGACGTTGTGGGCGGTGCAGGCCACCTCCTGGTCCCACCCAGGCACCAGGGCCGCCGGGGACACGGTCAGTTGGTCCGGGAAGGCTGTGGATGGCGGTGGGGACCGAGGGCTGAGCCCAGGGACCGAGGGCTGAACCCAGAGGAGGGATCAGAGCCCTGGAGGGGGTGTGGGGCTGCGGATGAATAGGGACTGCTGGTGAATTGGGGGGGACACCCAACGGTCACATTCCAGGGCCACTCGGGGGGACCGGGGGCCTCACCGTACACCAGGAGCCGCACGGTCCGCTGGAAGGTGACGTTCCCGCAGGAGCCCACGCACACGCGGGTCCCGGCGGCTGCCAGCGAGGCATTGTGCACGGTGAGCGCGCTGCTGCCCGCGCCCGTCCGTGCCCGCAGGAGCCCACGCCCACGCGGGTCCCGGCGGCTGCCAGCGAGGCATTGTGCACGGTGAGCGCGCTGCTGCCCGCGCCCGTCTGCACCGCGCCAAGGCTGGTGTCCAGGCCGCGCCACCGCACCGAGGCAACCCCGCGGCCTGCGCAGGCCAGGCTGCAGGTGAACTGCAGAGACGTGCCCACGGCCACGGCCACCTCGGGCTCCGGGGGCTCCAGCTGGAGGGGCTGACCTGCGGGTGCGACGCGGCAGCTCTCAGCCCACCCCCGCCCGAGCGCCCGGCCCCCCAGTCCCCGGCCCCTTCCAGTTCCCTGCTGTCCCCTATGCCAGCTCCCTCCCCTTCCAGTTCCCTGCTGTCCCCTGTCCCAGGCCCCTCCCCTTCCAGTTCCCTGCTGTCCCCTGTCCCAGCCCCCACCTTCCCTACACTCTCCGAGCCCTGCTTCTTTCTGAGACCCCAGCCCCTGCCCCTGCCCTGCTCACCATGGCCGGGCTGCAGGAGACCCAGGGACAGGGCCAGCAGGAGGGCCAGGCCCTGCGCCATGTCGTCCCTGCAGTCCCGCGGCCTGTGGGAGACACGGCTTAAGTAGTGGCGCCCCGGGCTCCTTCCCACTGCCCGGTGACCCTGCTCCTCCGCCCCCTCCTCCAGCTGCTCCCCGGGGGTTTCCCGAGGGGCTTTCCCACCCTGACCCCCGACCCTGGAGGCGGCACAGAGACAGGGGCTGGGAGTCAAAGACCGGGTGGGGACCCCGGGGCCGAGGCCAGAACAGATGGGGCGGAAGGTCTGGGTTGGCTCCAGGCCTCGTTCAGGGATGGGAAGAGCGGCAGAAGGAGGGTGACAGCCCAGGTCAAGTGGATGGAAATGGGACGAAGCTGGTGGCGGGGAGGGGGCGGTCTTGGCCTTGGTTCCTGGGGCCCAGGTCACAGGCGGGGGTGGCAGAGAGCAGCGCCGTCCCGCCCTGGTGCTGCAGGGCAGGGGTCTTCTGGGGCAGGGGTCCACTTGGGGTGAGGATCTTGTGGGGACGATGGTGTTCTGGGCCGGGGGTGTCCCGGGGGTCCGGCGAAGGTTTCTGGGGATGGAGGTTCCCTGGGGCTGGGGTCTCCCTGGGGTGAGGGCCTCTGGGCCTTCAGGCCCAGCTGGGAAAGTCGCCCCATCTCTGAGCTTGACTCCCCACCTCGCAGCCGGATGGGAGCCTGGGAGCCCCGGGTGGGCAGGTGGGGGGCTGCGTCGGTTCCCTGTTCCACACAAAGACTCAAGTGTGGGGCTCACAAGAGGGGGTGGGAGGGGACCCTGGCCAGGCCCCCACTCTTCGCTGCCATCAGCTCCTGTCTCAGGCAACCTTGGAGCCTTTCCGGTCCCCTCGTCTATTTCATTTTCTCCAGGCGTCTTGTCCTGAAGCCCCCCGTGAGCCCTGTAGCTGCAGTCAGGTGACATCTGTGTCTCCCCTACCTGGGGAGGGTGAACTTGTCTGCTGTGGCCCCCACCACGACCCTGGACCATGCACGGCAGGGAGAAAAGGAGGGAGCAGTCCTAGTTTAGCCTTTCCTGGCCTCAGGGTGTGGCCTATCTGTGCCTTTCCCTGACTGGGGAATAAAAGAAGGGGCCACAGGCTGTGCTGTGTTTAAGCGTTGCCAGTCTGTCTTCTTGGGGACAGAAACAGGCTGGGAGCTGAGGAGGGAAACTGAGGCCCAGAGAGGGGTCTGTGTCAGGTCCTGGGGAGATGAGGGCCCGGGTGCATGAACTCACCATCGTCCTAAGTCCCATTCCCCCTCCCTCCTGGTGCCGGGAAGGGCCTCACAGGAAGGCCGGCCTCAAGGTGCGGCTCTGTAGGCCGGAGGCACAGGCCCTTCCAGGGAAGCTGGCCCTTAACCCGGGTGGAGGTCACTGGGCCTGGTGAATGGGCGGCTTCCCAGCCCTTGACTTCACTTCCTGCCAGCCTCGAAGCTGCCCAGGGTGGGTGGGGAGGGGCCACTGGGCGCCAGGGTGAGGCCCCTTGCAAGGCATGGCCCTGGCTCTCCTGGGCCCTGTGTCCGCCCCACTGCCCTGTCCCTGCTGGCTTCTTCCAGGTGCTCCTCCCAAACACTCCCGTGTGTCACAACAACTCTTCCCATTCAGAGACGCAGGAGGGACAGGAGGGCTGAACAGGTGAAGACGTTCTGGGTGGAGGAAACAGCATGTGCAAAGGGCCTGAGGCAGGAAGGGGGCGGGTAGAGACAAAGAGACACAAAGAGATAGAGAGACACAGAGACAGAGATGAAGAGAGACAGAAACAGAGACAGAGAAACACAAAGAGATAGAGAGACAGAGAGACGGAGACAGAGAGCAACAGAGATGGGATGAGGCCTGGAGGGCTCTGGCTGGACCCTGGGGGGAGGGCATGCGGAGCCCAAGACCCCCAGTGTCCCTGGTGTCCTCATCCCAAAGCAAGACCAAGCCCCAGGAGGGACAGCACCGGGGACATCCCTTTTGTCCTTGGGAGTCTGAGCCTGGCTTCCTGTAGCCCACCCTGGGTATTGGCCCCTTCCCGGCATCGTCCCGCCCTGCAGGAAGTCCTCAGCAGCCAGCAGGAAGCCTCCTTCCCTCCAGGGTCCCAGCCCTGCCCCATCCTGGCCTCCGGTTGGTAAGAAAATAATCTAAGTGATTCATTTTCAGAAATGACTTTTCAGAGGGAGTTTTATTGAGATGGTAATTAGTTACTACCCCCATTTCCGGGTGTTTCTCCCTTCACAGGGCTTAAGTGGGCCTTTTTCACGGGCTTGTCCTGAGCCCCCCAGACAAAGGAATTCCTTGCGAGGGGGTAATAAATCTTAGGCGTCATTCGGGAAGATTGTGCACCCTGTGGTCTCAGCCAATGAGGGCAGGGGAGGGACTTGCACACTAGGGAATAAATTGCTCCACGTAACCGTTCCCTGTGTGCCTGCCCTTCAGACACCCGAGCCTCGCAAGGCCGTAATTAAAGTCTCGCTTCGCTGTACCTTGTGTCTCCGTGTCCATCCTTTGGCACTGGATGGGTGAGGGCACTGCTCACATGGTCCACGGAGGAACGTTCCAGATGTCAGCGTTGCTCTAATTGGGGAGGGGGCTGTCCAAGGCCTGAGCGCACCCCGGGGCCTGGAAGACCCTTCCCGACCCCCTGGGCAGCACCCTCCCTCTCACCCACCAGGGAACTGTGGGGTCCTCAGGGCTCTGTTTTTGGGGTGCACAGGAGCCCAGTGAGAGCAGGGCCAGGTCACCAGGGGCCTCTGTTGGGTCCTGCGCAGACTTGGTATGTCAGCCCCCACCTGGGTCCTAAGGAAGGTGGGGGGAGGAACAGGCTGCGGGAGGAAGTGGCTGTTTAGTAAATGTTGTGTGTGGGGGCCCTGCCATTGGAACACCCCGACAGGCCACCCCCACCTGCACAGAACATTCTAGAGCAGGGAGGGCTGGGGACACGCCGGCTGCCGCCACACTGGGCAGGACACCACTGCCCCACCCACTTGGCCTTGCTGATCCCCAAAACCTCCTTGGCCAAAGGAGCATGGTGGAGGTACAGCCAGAGCCCCAGTGGGAGCCCCGTGACACAGGGCCGGCCATGTAGCTGCTCAAGGCATGTCAGAGCAGACGCATGACCACGCCAGCCCTGACCCCTGTCTGTGCAGGAGAGAGGAGGGAGGCTGCAGGGACGTGAGAAGCGTCCTGGGAGACACGGCATTGAGGGCTGATATCTGGGTTTCAGGTGGACGTGCCCAGCTCCAGGGAAGCCCTGCTGGGGGCAGGTCTGGCTCTGGCATCCGTTCGGGGAGAAGGGTCCGTGTGGCGTTGGCCCCTCTCTGCAGCTGGCCTGGGATGGGGTGGGTTGGGCTGCAGGGACCTGGTGAAGGTGCTGGGCAGAGGGCCCAGGCCGGGTAAGCCAAGGGAGCTGGACATCCCTGCAGCCATCGCCAGGTGTGGTGGTCTCCGTGGCAGTCCCCCCTGACCTGGATGGGAGAAACGGGGGGGGGGGGCTCTCAGGTGACCCTGGAGCAGAAAGCACATGGTGGTGAGAGCTGGTCTTGGGCTGCTGGCTCCGCCTGGGGGGTCAGGCCTGAGCAGGATGGGCCTGGGATGCACAGATTACAGGTGAGCTCACCCCCTGGCTAGGGGCATCTGAGCAGGACCTGGAGAAGCTGGGCCAGAAACCCCACCCTGACCACTGGATGGACTGGCCACGACCCCTGACCTTAGGCCTCCCGGCGACTGGCTCGTGTCGCTAGATGCCCACCAGCCTGGGTCCTTGAAGAGCCCTTGTGGGCACTGGGCACAGGCCAGGTGGTCATGCTGGGAACGAAGAGCGCCACTGCGTACGAGTCGAGGGCAGAGGGAGGGCAGCCGCGCTGCAGGGAGAGCGGGCGACCATGGCAGTCCTGACGGCTCTGTCCAGAGTCCCTGCCTGGTGCACAGGCTGCAGGTGCCAGTGACCATACCCTGCACTACAACTGCAATGGCCCCTGCCGTGCTTCCCAGCCCAGGGCAGGGGCCCAACGGGCTCAGACTGACTCAAGGGTGTCTGTGTGGGGGCTCAGGGGCACCCCTCACCATCCACCCAACCAGTCTGCTGCAGAGGGGACAGACACCAGCTGGAATGGCCAAATGAAGCAGGTTGAGCACAGCAAGTGCTGACGAGGATGTGGGTTGTTGGAAGCATCACCCACGGCTGGTGGGAGCGGGAGACAGAGCAGCCACTGGGGGAGGCAGGCTGGCGGTTCCTCAAAATCTAAACACAGAGTTACCAGGTGACCCCCCGATTCCACTCCTAGGTGCACACCCAAGAGAAATGAAAGCCGACGTCACACAGAGACTCGTAGATGGGTGTCCACAGCGGCTTTATCTGCAACAGCTGAGACCTGGAAACCACCAGATGTCCCTCAACAGGTAAATGGACAAACTGTGGCACATGTCAATACAACGGAATACTTCAGGAATAAAAAGGCAACGGACTGTTTATACACGCAACAACATGGGTGGATCTCAATACGATGTGACTCGATTTATATAAAATCCTGGAAAATACAAAAGAACCCAGAGACGGATGGGTGGCCGCCCGGGGACAGGGGAGGCTGGGAGGGTTTTCCCTGGGGCAGGAAGGGACTGGGGCAGGCTTGACGGGTGCGCGTATGTATAAGCTCATGAGCTTCAAGCGTGTGCAATTCACGGCATGTCGGTTTTACCTCTGTAAAGTTAAAAAGTTTAGAGGTCAAAGTTTAGAGGTCAGGAAGATGAGGAGGAACCAGCACAGAAGCTAGAACAAGGTGTCAAGTGATGTGATGTTCCAGAAAGCAGAGGGGACAGGCTGCCCCTGCGGAAGGCGCCAACCCAACCTGGGGGAGGCAGCGACCTGCCCAAGGTCACCTCAGTCCCTGGACCCTCTGTCTCAGGCCCTCCTTGGGGGGACCCTTCCCTGGAGGCAGCTGGTCTCAGGCTGTGGTCAGTGACCAGCTTTGCACCAGGGCTGGGCACTTAGGGCTCTGGGCCTCTGTGCCACCGTCAGAAACAGGGATTAAAAATCATGACCTAGGAGCCGACCACCGCAAGCCTTGTGGCATGGGCACCTTGTGACAGGTGGGGGACCTGCTCTGACCCCAGCATGCTCCCTGACTCCCGGGGTAAAGCACCATGAAGAGCTGCTTCCAAGAGAGGCCCGGCCAGGAACCTCGCAGGCCTCTCCCCGCAGGGGGCTGGGGTCTCAAGTTCACAGTCACATGTAGTCCCCGCCAGGGACTCCGTGGAAGACAGCACACACTCACCTCCGTTCTTTCGACTCCTGCGTCTGTCTATGGTGAAACATTCATAACAAAACTCACCATTGGAAAGCACACAGCTCAGCAGCGCTAACTAAGCACAGCCACGCCGTTGTGCAGCCGTCACCACCGTCCGTCTCCACGGCTCTTCATCCCCCCAAACTGAAACTCTGTCCCCATTAAACAGCAGCCTCTGGCCACCTCTGATCTACTCTCCATCCCGTGGATCTGCCCCTTCCAGGAACCTCACAGAGTGGAACCACGCGTTACTTTTAGGGGACATGATGTCCCTCACCATGTGGCTCGGTGTCCTCATGGGCAGAGTGTAAGAAAAGGTGGCAGGGCTGGAGCCATGGTGGGTGGTGCAGAGGGACAGGCTGTGACACTAGCTCCCACCCATCCCCCAAAAGAGGAAGAGGGGACCCCTTCACTGAGAGCAGGGATCCCAGAACATAGCCCAAACCCTCCTGGGGAAACTGAGGCACAGAGAGGAGAACAGCTCCTTCTCTGTCTATCCCTGTTGCCTCAGGTTGAAACCATTTTCTTCCCCACCTTGAGCAGCTGATCCGCCTGAATGCCGCCTCCTCCAGGGAGCCCTCCCACCGCCCAGGGAGAACTGAGTCAGTCCCTCAGCAACGTGGCTCCTGAGCATGGCGGTCAGTGGTGCTGCCTCGTGGTCTAGTGCCTGGCATGGGGCTCGTCTGCTGAACGGACGTGGCTGCCCACTGAGGCTCACTCGGCTTCCAACCTTCAGGACCTCACACCACCCAGCTCGTGGGCTCCCCTGTGCTTCCTGGTCCTGGGAACACGCCTCTCCGAGGGCTCGCCCTGGATGCGCTTCGACCTCCTCTGCACCTCAAAGACCTCCCCGGCTGCCCTGTGTGGAGGATGTGCCCACGCCCTGCTCTGCAGCCCTGCCTGGGTGGGCAGGGCTTTGTCTGCCTCGGTCAGGGCTCCCGACTGTTGCTGACTGGGCAGAAGGGAGTCCTCGTGGCTGCGCAGCCTGGG